CGACGCTCCCTCAGCACTGACCCTCCGACAGTGCGACGCTCCCTCAGAGTTGCTTTGGGAGTGAGTCTGTATCATGTGTTTAAGCCTCTGGACTGAAAGCTGATCCCACACCAATTGCAGAGTAAAGACAGAGCTGGAGTCTGAGGCACAGCTGACGCATAACAACAGGATCAGAGCTAATGAAGAAAATATCAATCCTAATTCCATTCACTGATTTGAGAGTTAATCAAACTGAGCTGAATTCCCATTAGAACTGCAGCTGTTAACAATGTGCAGAGACTGTACCTTCCCAGTGTATCCCAGGCTGGTGAGGTTGACAGCAAGGAGATGGCACAGTCTGTGTGACTGGTATGGTCAGTCTTGAGTATGTTTTCCGAACCTGCTGAGGTTGATAGATAGGATGTCGCTGCTCCTCTCTGGGTGCTTTTGTGTAAGGGTGAGGTACCATATTGTTCAGCTGCACTTGGCATGAAGATGGCACTGGGAGCAGTGTAACTATTTGAAGCTAGCACGGGGATAGGATGAGAGCTCTGGTGTGGGGATATGGAGACTGGAGCAGAGCACACTGTCCCCTGTTGCTGCTTTGAACTCAGTGCAGGTCCCAGTGATGACTGTCGAGTTTGACCAGGAAAGGTGTTCACATTTTGGGAACCTGGAGAAAAAAGGAAGTGAAGCCTTTTGAAACAATTTGTTTTGATCTTTGTTCAGAATCTTTCAATATATTTCTCAGAGCCAGTGACAGGAGAATCCTGTCATGTCCACTGAAGCTGCTAATTTGACCATCTCTCTGTCTATTTGCATTTTTCATCCTAATTCTTCTTTTCTGTATTTTACTTCTGGCTGCCAGACTGTAGATTCCCCCAGGACTGGAGACAGAAACATTTGGGGAATTGGTCAGTGTACATGCTGCCTGTTCACATGGTGTTGGTGCAGAGTTTGACACAATCCCATTTAACTGAACCAGCAGACAGAGTGATCAAATCTCCTGTAAACAGGGAGAATTTAATATCAGGGTTACATCAGCTAGAAATTCATCTTGAATTGAGACTCAAACTGAGTCATTTCACTGACTTTTCTGTCAAAGACTGTACACTCCATTATCCAAAATTGTAAATCAGGAAAGGCACAGGTCAGGAGTGTGATGGAATACTCCCCACTCGCCTGGATGGGGACAGCTCCAACAACACTCAACAAGCTCAACACCATCCAGGACAAAACCGCCCACTCGATTGGTATCACATCCATAATATTTACTCCCTCCCCCACCAACGCTCAGTAACAGCAGTGTGTACTATATACAAGATGCACTGCAGAAATTCACCAAAGATCCTCAGACAGCACCTTCCAAACCCCCAACCACTTCCATCTAGAAGGACAAGGGCAGCAGACATGTGGGAACACCAGCACCCTGCAAGTTTCCCTCCAAACCACTCACCATCCTGACTTGGAAATATATCTCCGTTCCTTCTTTGTCGCTGGGTCAAAATCCTGGAAATCCCTCCCTAACAACAGCACACAGACTGCAGTGGTTCAAGAAGGCAGCTCAACACCACCTTCTCAAGGGGGCAACTACAGACAGGGCAATAAATGCTGGGCCCAGCCACTGATGGTCACATCCCATGAGTGATTTTAAAAAAAAAGCACCGAAGGTGATTAAGGAGGGTAGTTGAATTCTGTAAATTATCTTTTATCATTTTGACCAAAGTCTAAACTCCACCAACATGTGCAAACATCCCACAATAACCGTCGGAATTCCTTCTCCACTGTCCAGCCCCCTGAACCCTTCAAATCTGCCTCATCATTGCCACATTAACCCTGTCTGTTGCACAGCCCTGGGAAGTTCCTGGTTAAATTCCTCCCAGTTCCTCACACATGTCTTGCTGGATTTGGAGAAATTTTTTCAAAGTTTGCAGCTGCTTTCTGCTTCAAATATTCTCGTGACTCTTCCCTTTCCCTTTGGTTATTGTCCTCATTTAACACCAGCCCCAGTCCCACCCCCGGTAGAGTGCAGCTCGAGGCTGTTTTGTGAGCCTCAGTACTCCATGCCAGAATCCCAAGGCAGGAACACACTGGTTCTGGGGATTAGGGAATGTTCAGAATGAGATTTATGATCCAAGTGGGTGAGGCAGCTCTTAAACTTGTTCAAACACACAGAGCTAGAGTTTTTGTCTTTAAGCAGTTGTTAAGACAAGAGAAGTGTTAATAATACTTATTCTGCATTTGGTAATCTCTCTGGGGTTGAGATCATGCTGGTCATTGGAGATGAGCAGATTTCCCAGGTACTGGAGTCACTGACAGTAAGAACACTGGGCTCAATGCCAGACTGAGCCAATCCTGCGCTAATTCATGCTCAGATCGATCTGGACCAGCTTCTCTGGGCAGATGTAGTTGAGGAGCTAACACCCTGCTACATGCTGCTACAGCCAGTGCACCTTTAGAATGAGGTCAGTCTTTTCAAGTCGCCCTCACTGAGTGATATCGCTGGCTCATCAAGAGTGAGAGACAAACGCCAATCATGATTAGAAGTGGTTTGTTTATAATAAGATTCCTCAGCTTCCCTTGCTGCAGATATTTATAATGAATCTGCCACATATAATGCCCACGTTTTCGGTCTGTTGACTAAAGGAGGAAGAAACTACTTTAAAATCAGGGAGACTATGCAAAGAGATGACTGCAGCTTTAAAAGCCATGTTTTACAGGAGCACATTGTGTTTTCCTGGACCAAGGACAGCGGAAGGTCAGAGCCCTCGGTTCTGAACTGAAGGAAAACCGCTCAACAAGAAATGTTGTGATTGGGTCCTGACCAGGTGACCGTGACTTGTGTGGGGCCAGTGCAGCAGAAGACAACCAGCCTATAATGAAAAAGCATCAAAATTTGTCTCTCTCTGTCTCTCGGGTAGAGACACTGGGCAGTGTCCAGTAACAGCTCTTGGGAATTCCACTCATCTCTCTGTACAAATCCCCCATTCAAGGGGAGCATAAAACATCTTTAAATACAATGAAAGGTCATTCTCTCAACCAGTGAATGAAAGAGAGCACTGGTGTTCAGAGAACATTGTGTCAATAACAAATAACTAAAAGGAATTAGGGAAAGCAAGACAAAGAAAGCATCACATGAAATCCTGGGGTCTAGATGGGCGCTATTGAACGGTGGTCCCTGATCTTTTTATCGTTTCCCAGTATTAATACCCAATTTACCTGTCTTTGTGTGACAGTCTGTTTGTGAAGGGTTGGGAGAGAGAGCTGATTTTAAGAAGGGATAGGGTTTAAGTTGTAGAGTTATAAGTTAGCAATTCCCATTTCCTCATAGCCATTGATAAAAGACAATGCGCTTGTAAGAAACAGTTATTTTCTTGTTAAGTTCAGAAACCTGGTGAATGTTTTCCTTTAATCTAAGTTTATCAGTCAGGTAAATCAGGGATGTAGGACAGCTTGACTAAACCTTTTCACATTTTGTCATAACTCAAGGAATAATGGGGTTTGATTTCCAGAGCACTGCCCTAGTCATAAGAAACATAGTCCAATCATTTAGTAATTGATCCATGCCAATTATTAATTCTTTTCTGAACTTAGCACCGCACTGTCGGAGGGTCAGTGCCGAGGGAGCGCCGCACTGTCGGAACAAATATTGAACCAAGGTCCTACTTGTCCCTTTGGGTGAGTTTGAAGATCAGATCCTGCTTTTCAGATTCAATGTGTCACTTGAAGAAAAACTCTTTCAGTAATTGTTAGGAAGATAAAGCAATTATAGGTGTATCTGTCCCTGCTGAGGAAAGCAGATGGTTTATCTTATGAGAGCGTTCAAAAGGTTATGTTAGTGTTATTCAGGAATTTGATCTCAGAATCTGTGTCTGAGTTTTCTGCTGGGGGCCTGTAGTCAGTGTTAATAGATCCCAGCTGGACAGGGCATTGGCTGGTGAAGGGACCTTGTTAAAAATTCCTGACCAAGTTTACAAAACCCACATGATGCCATATCTTACCAAGAGAGGAGTTACAATGTGGTGAACCAGCAGAACTGGAGAAACCTGGGGTAGCAGGCAGAGAGCTAGGCGTGGAAGACAGTTGTCCAGTATCAAGCCTGTTGTATCTAGAAGCGTTGGGCTGCAGAGAGGACACGTTAATTAGTAACAATTTGAGTTGCTGAGTGTGTGAGCGTGTGTTTGAAAACAGAGAGCCTTCGAGCTGGAGTTCACAGAGTGTCAGTCAGAGGGAACGCTGCAGTGTGCTACACAGAGCACAGAGCAGTCCAATGACTGAACCTACTCAGTCCTTACTGTGAGTACGGTCCATGCACCAAACATTGTGTGTGTGTTACTCAACCCCCAGAACTGTCAGAGAATTGGTTTCCAAGTGGACAATCTGAGACAATAAATCTGTCATTTATTGATGGGACTCAGCAGTGTCAGAGTCTCATGCTGGGTTTGAGGTTAACAGACACAGGCAGACAGACAGTGTATTAAAGCTGCTGTAAATTCCTACCAGCTGATGGTATTGAGGATTGGTTGAGGTGTCAGTGATTTGGATTCCCAGCGAATCGGATTGGTGATCGTCATTGATTGACGTAATGCTGCGCTGAGAGTTGCTTGTTCTTCCCGAATCCCATTCGTCATAAATCAGAATTCCTGGGGGAAGAGAGTGGAACAAGTTAAATGCCATCAGCCAGTGGAAATCAGCTGATGGGGAAGAAGGCCTTGCGCAATGGGTCTGAAAGTTGGCGAATGGAATTGGTATGGGAAGTGGGTGTGGGACTGGGATTAGGAATGGAGTTGGGATTGAGATGTGGATTAAAACAGAGACTGGGATTAATAAAGGGAAAGGTACAGGCATTAAACTGGGGACAGGAACATGGATTGGGATAGGGACAGGCTTTGGAATGGGATTGAGTTAGAGTCGGGATTGAGATTGGGATTGGAAATGGGATAGGAATAGAACTGGTATTGGTACTGGAATTAGAATTGGGACAGAGATTTTGACAGGGATTGAGAGAGATTGGAACTGTGTCCAGTTCTGGTTGCCCTGTTATAGGGAGGATGTTATTAAGCTGAACAGGGTTCAGCAGAGATTTACCAGAATGTTGCCAGGAATGGAGGGTTTCAGTTATAAGGAGAGGCTGAGACTTTTTTCACTGAACTGTAGGAGGTTGAGGGGTAACCTGATAGAGGTTAATGAAATCATGAGGGGTATAGATAAGCTGATTGGCAGGTGTCTTTTCCCTAGGGTGGGAAATTTCAAGACTAGGGGGCATTTCTTTAAAGGTAAGAGGAGAAAGATTTATAAGAGACAGGAGGGGCAACTTTTTTTTCTTACACAGAGAGTGGTTCGTGTGTGGAATGAATTTCCAGAGGAAGTGGTGGATGCGGGTACAGTTACAATGTTTAAAAAACATTTGGGTAAGTACATGAATTGGAAATGTTTGGAGAGAAATGGGCCAAGTGCAGGCAGGTGGGAGTAGTTTACTTTGGGATTATGGACAGCATGGACTATTTGGACAGATGGGTCTGTTTCTGTGCTGTATGACTCTATTGCTCTAATTTCATACATTGAGAGGCCTGTGTTTATCAGCTGGTATTAAGTGCAGATTGTCAGAGCAAACGCTATTCTCTTCATGGACTGCACCCTGACTATGTTTGCATTGGCGGGACAGGAAATCGTTACAAAACAAAGTAAACTATTCAGTAACACATGATGGACTCAGGGCCAAATCTGCTTATTACGGAACACGTTCACACTTGCATCATTCAGATTGTGTGGTTGGAATATTCTCCAGCAATGTCCCCACCCTGCCCACTCATCATGCTGACTATACAACCACCCCTTCACACCATGGCCACCCCTCCACACTGTATGTCCCCACCTCCCCCTCCCAATGGTACACAGTCACCCAGGGTCCAGGAAGATCCCACAATTCTTGCCTGTTCATTTCTACCACCTCCCACGCTGAGCCAGACATTGGGTACAGAAGTGCAGTCTCTGACTTTCACAGTGTGTGTGACTGACCCAGTAAATCCAAGCAATGCACACTCGGAAAATTGGAAATAAAATCAGAGACTGAAGCAGAGTCACATTCAACTCAAAACTCAACTCACTCCACAATGCAGCTAGGGCTGCTGAGCGTTTCCAGAACTTTCAGTTTTAATTCAATCAATCAGGAACAGGATGTGGATTCACTCCCACAGCATTGTACCTCACCGTCACCACCTGCTCCTTACGGAATTATCAAGTAGTACACGCCTGGAATAGTGTGCCTAGAGGATTGGTCACCATCTTTAAGGAAGGCAGTTTGAGGAAGGTTTAACAGACTCGTCCCTGGAATGGGTGGTTTGTCTAGTGAGGAAATGTTAGGCTTGTATCCACTGGAGTTCTGAAGAGTAAGAGGCAGCTTGATTGAAATGTGTAGTATCCTTGAGTGGGTCTTGACTGGGAAGATATGGAAAAGATGGTGCCTTTTATGGGAGAATCTAGAACGAGGGGTCACTGTTTAAAAATCAGATCTTTCATTTAAAAAACAGAGACAGGGACATTTTTCTCTCAAGGGTCATGAGTCCTTGGAACTCATCTTTAAAATGGGTGGAAGCAGAGTCTTTGAATATTTTTTAAGGTAGAGAGAGATAGATTCTTGTTAAAGAAGGAGGTGAAAGGTTTTTGGGGGTAGGCAGAAACTTGGAGGTATCAGATCAGACAGGGTTTCATTGAATGGTGGAGCAGGGTTCAAGGGGCAGAATGGCCTAATCTTGCTCCTAATTTGTATGGACTGTACTGAAGGCGACCAGTCAGCCCACTGAAATTCTGATGATCCATTCGAAGGGCCATCCAGCTCCATTCCTCCTCCCAATTTGCAAAATCTCGATAAAAGGCTTCTTTTGGTCCATGTGTTGCTTGACACTACCCTAACCAATTAGCATCCTTGGACCTAGCATAGGAATTCAACTCCAAAACAACCAGAGCCCGAGTATGACCCCTAACCTGGCCATGGCCCCTAACTCAAGCATGACTCTTAAACCGGTCATTACCCCTACTCTGAGCATGACCCTTAACCTGAGTATATCCTCTAAAACAGCCATGACCCCTAACCCGAGCATGACCCTTAAGCTGGCCATGGCTACTAATCTGAGCATAACCCCTAACTTGAGCACGACCCCTAGCCCATGAGGGACCCCTAGCCCCAATCCCAGCACAGGGTTCAGACAGAGGTTAAACATTATCTCAATCTTATATGGAAAATGCATCAGGAAATTCTGAAGCAGCTGAGAGAGCTAGCCAGTGCTAGGTGTTTTGTGAACCCCATCACCATGGGGAGACTACATTGTGTCCCTCAGTGTGAATTGTATGTCCATGGCTCACCATGGTAACCAGAGATCTCTACCTGGGTGATGTCCATTCAATGGGGCCTCCTCATTGGCCCTATCCCGGAGTCTAGTGTTGCCGCTCAGGAAACTATTTCCTTGGTTACAGGTGCTGATTGGCTGAAAGGTGGGATCCAGCTCTAAAATCAGTTTGTTGAGATTTTCAATGGTTGCGTCTAAGGTGGGAGATAATGGATCATTTCCAGCACAGTTTGATTTTGATGTTTCAGAGTTTCTCCAGGTCTGTTCTGAGGGGTTTGGCACCTCCTGAGGACCGGGATGTGGTTTTACTCGAGCTGCAGTGATTCGCCGATATCCATCGTGGATTGGAGGCTTCTGACTGGTGACTGTGAAGGTTTGGGATCTGCCCAGTCCCGGCTCAGGCCTGTCCTGCACTGAGCAGCTGGGGTACGGAGGGGAGATCTCCCGGCAAACCCACCGCATGGGTGGGCAGTGGCTATGGGATTCTCCGGAAACAGGCTCTGGGTCTGGGTAGACAGCTCTTGGTTGGCTGTGACTGACAGAGGACCCACTCAGGACAACGGTCTCCACTCGAGGAGATGGAGACGGGCTCTGGCTCCTTTTCACGTGGATGGTGTGTCTTGACATGGTGTCAGAGAGGAAGCCTCTGTCTTTCATCAGTGCCTGAAGGTCTCACTGGGACAGAGATTGGAAGCAGTCCTCACAAACTGTCACCACCTCTTGGGTTTGTCCTTCTGCTTATTGCGAAGTGTTTACTGGTCAGGGATATGTCCTCAGACCTGAAAAAAAAACAAAGACCATTATTAATTTGCAATCAATTATAAATACGGCCAAAATACACAAGTTAAACATAAGCTTTTAAAGGAGTTTTAATCATTTGTAGGAACAACACGGGGTGTAGGGGCTGGAGGAGGTTACAAAGATAGGGAGGGGGGGTAGGGGGTGGGAGGGGGAGAGAGGAATAGGGAGGGGGTGCAGGGGCTAGTGGGGGTGACAGAGAAAGGGAAAGGGTGTAGGGGATGGAGGGGATTACAGGGATGCAGGTCACAGGCCTCCTGTACAGAACTGCAAAGGTCCTGGAGTGGGACTTGAACTCACAAACTCATGACTCAGGGTGAGTGGGAGCAACAACTGAGACATACTCAACAGCAAATTGAAATTCTCTGGTTAGCTGGAAAGCAAGCCCAGGTTTACCAAATGGTCAGTCACATCTCTGCAAGAATAATGAGCAGAACAGCAACTTGCAATTGGATAGCAGAGTTAGTAATGTGCTGAATGGACTCAGCTTGTTCTGGCAGTAGATGGGGATGTTGTAAACAGGTGGGGGAAGTGTTTCTGGGACTTGTCAGTGCGTTACTCGGAATGCTTGACAGGCAGAATGCCGGGTAAACACAATGCCTCCTGAACACCCACATCCGGTTCTCCGACCACTCCCCAGGGACGGGGTGGGGGGTGAAAAACAGGGGACGTGGGGGGGGTGGTGGTGGGAGGTGGATGGTGGTGCTCTGCTACATGCTGTGGCCAGGGAGTGGGTGGGGAAGGGATTACAGACAAAGCTGACTAGAAGTCAAGCACTGACTGTGTGGTAACAACACTGACGCAGGACATGGTGTTCGCCATGAATAACACACACGTACGCACGCACGAGGCAGCCAGAGGGTGAGATCATTGTTAGAATTCTCAGTGTGCTGACTAGCAAGGAGTTGCTGTGTACTGGTAACGTTAACTTGGAATCACAGAACTATTGTGAATCAGTATAATTCAAAGATCTTATTTATATAGAAAAAGTCCCCAAATCACGGGATAGTGATGGCACAGGAGGCCATTCAGCCTCTCATGCCCATACTGGCTCTTCAAATGAACATCATTACCCAGGACCAATCTCCTGTTTTCTCCCCCATGACACTGAACACTATTTCCATCACATAGCCACCCAATACCCATCTTGGATGCCTCAGTTGAACCTGCCTCGTCCACATTTCCATGCAGCACAGTCCAGACCCTAACTACTCACAGGCTGACCAAGATTTTTCCTCACACCACCCTTGCTTCTTTCCCAAAACACTTTAAATCTGTCCCCTTATGTTCGTTTTTTCTTTGACGGTCAGGAACAGCTTGTCCCAATCAGATTTGTGAATTAAGGATTGTGAGAGGGGAAGGCTTATACAGGACCTGTAAGGTAAACTTTTCATACAGAAGGTGGTACATGTATCAAATGAGCTGCCAGAGGAAGTGGCACCTGGATGCGTACATGAACAGGAAGGGTTTAAAAGGGGAGTGGGGCAAAGGCTGGCAAATTGGACTGGGTCAGATTGGGATGGCTGCTTAGCCCAGGCGAGTTGGGCCAAAGGGTCTGTTCCCATGCTGTATGACTCTATCTACTCTGTCCAGCCCATTCACAATTTTGAAAACCTTTATCAGATCTCCTCAGCCTTCAGGGAGAACAGCTCCAACATCTTCAATCTCTTCTCATCACTGAAGTTTCCCATTTCAGGAACTATTCTAGTAAATCATTTCTGCACTCTCGCCAATACACTCACATCTTTCTTATAATGGCCTAGTGGCTTGGTCCCTCAAGCTCTCAGGGAAATGTTGATTGATGAGGAATTACTAAGCAGCTGGAATCTATACTCACTACAGTTCCGAAGGAGAGACATATGATTTTACTGAAAGATGTCAGGGTCTGAGGGGGTTTGATGGGGCAGATGTGAAACAGTCCCCATGGGGTTATCTAGAATTAGGAGGACACAGTTTGGAAATAAGGACAAGTCTTCCAATTTCTTCTCTCAGAGGGCTAAGAGTCTGTGGAACTTACTGCCAGTTGGACAGATTTTTGATTGATGAAGGAGTTGGGGGTTATGGGGAACAGGCAAGAAAGTGAAGCTTAAACCACAATGAGGTCAGCTATGGTCTTATTGAGTTGTGGAGCAGGTTCGCTGCTTCTAAAGCATGTGATTTTACATCAAGTGGGAAACTGTTTACAGAGCAAAGGGCTGTGTAGGCTGTTCAGCTTGTTGGATCTTCATCTTTTAGATCACAGGCAGCTGTTTCTTCATTTAATTGACCTTTTTCATTCTATAACTCTCTGTGACCCCCTACATAGTGGGAACCCATCCATCTCCTTTCTAACATTTCCAATCGGTTTCCAGCCTTAGCAACTTTCTGGGGCAGAGAAGTTCCAGATTTCACCTTTGTGTGAGGTAAGGCTTCCTGACACTCCAGAATGGACTAGCTTACCCCTTCCTCCCCCCCACCCCCAACCACCAGAGGGAACAGATTCTCTCACAATGTTGCCTGGTTTGGAGGGTATTAGCTCTGAGGAGTGATTGGACAAACTTGGTTTGTTTTCACTTGCATGCCAGAGGCTGAGGGCAACCTGACTAAAGTTTATAAAATTATGAAATGCGTGGGTAGAATGGATAATCAGAATCCTTTTTTGTTGCATTCAAATGGCAATTACGAAGTTTAAAGGTAGAAGGAGGAGAGTTTGAAGGAGAGGTGAGGGGCAAGTTTTTATTAGACACAGAGGGTAGTAATTGCTTGGAATGCACTGCCAAAGGAGGTGGTGGATGCAAATACAATAGCGACATTTAAGAGGCATCTTGACAGATACATGAACAGTAAGGGAATAGAGAGATATGGATAGCATAGAGGCAAAAGCCTTTTGGTTTAGAAAGTGGGCTGAAGGGCTTGTACTGTTCTTTGCTCATCAACCCTATCAAATCCTTTATCTTAAACAGTTCAGTTACACCACTCCCAAATCTGTTGTCTTTCTGTATTGAAATTCTGGTTCACAGAATGAACTGATCTCATCTAGGGTGGGGTTCATTAGATCAGCTCCTGTGGTGGGGACAAAAAACACTGGGCTGAGTGCATTTCTTATGGAGCTCCGTCTGACAGTGTATTAAACAACCTATTGGGGAGGTCAGGCTGAAGCTGTGATACTCTCGGTGTCAAACAGGAGGTTTACAGGGGAAGGCTGATCATGGGGGCAGTAACCTAGGAGACTGACAGCACCATCTTCAATCCTCACGGAAACACACCCAGCAACTAACACACTTGGGGAGGGCCTCCACTCAGTCCCAGGGTCTGCAACAAAAAGGCAGCTATTCTCTGGCCCATTGTATCAGAAATTTTCGCCCTTTTACTCTGTACTCAGAGATCCATCTGCTGTCTAAATTTCCTAAATCACTCTGACCTCACCCACTCCAATTTCTTCACTCGCCATGTGCTGCCTGAACAGAATCTAGAAGCTTCCCCCCCTCCCCCTTCAGCTGGACATCCTGCTGGTTACTATAGCAATGATGATTCAATTCTCCTGTCAATAAAACTGTTAATTTCATTGCTGTGGCAGAGATATTTTTGTGTCAGCTTTCTCTCACTAACTGATTTCCCAGCTTCTCCACACACCTAGCCTTTATATAACCCTCAGCAGGGCTCATTCTGGATTAGTTCGAGGGTATTGTTAGAATCGCCAACTGTTGACAATGAAAGGAAATTAGCCAGCAACACGGATTTCCTTAAAGCTTCTCAATTGCAGAATCCTGCAGAACCACAGCAAATCATAATGTCCTTTCGTACAACTTCAGGTTTCTGATTCATTCCCTGTTTATGAAAGTGAACATTCAGAGTGTTGTACTACTAGTTAGACAGTGTACAATTTCCTCTACTCTTTAAAAGTGAAGGTAAAGCTTCTCTACACTGTCCCCATCAAACACTCCCAGGACAGGGACAGCATAAGGTTGGATATAGAGTAAAGCTGATGGTTATGGGTTTGGAACATGCAGTCTAAGAAGCCTTCCTGCATTTCTGCAGCACATCATAGTAGTTCTGCTGCCACTGAGCATCGGTGGTAGAGACATTTCTGGATGTGGTGCCAATCAAGCGAGCTGCTTTGTCCTGGATGGTGTCAAGCTTCTTGAGTGTTGTTGGGGCCAGTATTCCATCACACTCCTGACTTGTGCCTTGTAGATGGTGGGACAGGCTTTGAGGAGTCAGGTGGTGAGTTACTCATTGCAGGATTCCCAATCTCTGACCTGCTCTTGTAGCCACTGCGTTTATGTGGCTAATCCAGTTCAATTTCTCATCAATGGTAACACCCAGGATGTTGATAGTGGGGGCTCCATGATGGTAATGCTATTAATTATCAAGGAGTGATGATTAGATTGTCTCTTGTTGGCGACAGTCAGAGCCTGGCATTTTTGTGGTGCAAATGTTACTTGCCACTTGTCAGCCCAAGCCTGGATATTGTCCAGATCTTGTTGCGTTTGAACATGGACTGCTTCAGTATCTGAGGAGTCACGAATGGTGCTGAACATTGTGCAATCATCGGTGAACATCCCCACTTCTGACCTTATGATGGAGGGAAGGTCAGCTGAAGACGAAGCAGCTGAAGATGGTTAGGCCTAGGACACTGCCCTGAGGAACTCCTGCAGAGTCGTCCTGGAGCTGAGATGCTTGAGCCCCAACAACCACGACCATCTTCCTATGTGTCACGTATGACTCCATCCATCAGAGAGTTTGTCCCCTGATACCCACTGATTCCTGTTTTGCCAGGGCTCCTTGGTGCCACACTCGGTCGAATGCAGCCTTGATATCAAGGGCTGTTGCTCTCACCTCACCTCTGGAATTCAGCTCTTTTGTCCATGTTTGAACCAAGGCTGTAATGAGATCAGGAGCTGAGTGGCCCTGGCAGAACCCAAACTGGGCGTCACTGAGCAGGTTATTTCTGAGCAGGTGCTGCTTGGTAGCAATGTTACTGACACCTTCCATCACTTTACTAATGGGGCAGTAATTGGCCGGGTTGGATTTATCCTGCTTTTTATGTACAGGACATACCTGGGCAATTTTCCACATTGTTGGGTAGATACCAGTGTTGTAATTGTACTGGATCAGCTTGGTTAGGGGAGCACAAGTCTTCAGTACTATTGCCAGAATCTTGTCAGGGCCCACAGCCTTTGCAGTATCCAGTATCTCCAACCATTTCCTGATATCACATGGAGTGAATTGAATTGGCTGAAGACTAGTATCTGTGCTGCTAGGGACCACTGGAGGAGGCCGAGAGAGATCATCTACTCGATAGCTCCTAATCACTTCTGGTGAAGAGTCATTGGACTCAAAACGTTAACTCTGCTTTCTTCCCACAGATGCTGCCAGATCTGCTGAGTTTCACCAGCAATTTCTGCTTTTGTTTCAGATCTAACTATTCAAATCCCATTTTCCAGCACTTGGCCCATAGCCATGTATGTCCTAGCATCACCCACAAGTGCACACCTAAACACTTCTTCAATATTAGGAGGGTTTCTGCCTTTACCACCTTCATGGGCAGTGAGTTTCAGCTTCACACCACCCTCTGGGTGAAAATGTTTTTCCTGACATTCTCTCTAACCCTCCTATCCCTTACCTTAAATCTATGCCCCTGGTCATTGATCCCTCCATTAATGGGAAAATTCTCTTCCTGTCTTTAGATAGTCTTTATGCTCCTCATAATTTTATAAATCTCAATCATGTCCCCTATCAATCTTCTCTGCTCTGACAAAACAACCCCAGTCTGTCCAATCTTTCTTCATTACAGGCAACATCCTGATAAATCTCCTCTGTGCCCTCTCCAGTGTTTTATTTAACCTGAATTGCTTATTGATATTACGTGGAGTCCAACAATTTGCACACAAGCGGACCAGAGACTCAGTGCTGTTCAGTAACATTTGAATCAGAAGTTTTGGCTGAGCTCCTAGCCAATGTAGTTGATCAATCCCACTCACTGTAGAGCAGGCACAGATAGCGTGAGGAGATCTGGGGTTCAAATCCCAGCTGCACCAGAGGGTGTGTAATAATGCCTCTGAATGGGTTGTTTAGAAAATCTCTGAATCAGGTTTAATTGCAGTGAGGGAGGAAGCAGAATTAGGCAGATGGTCAATCGATAAAACCTGGGACTGCCTCGCTTGGAATTTGCTAAATTAAAAGTGTATTTTTATCAACACATTTCATGTTGCGTTTGAATTTTTCCTTTGGCGCAGTTACTAAAACAATAAAAGATACAAACCAAATGGAGCGGAGGTCGAGGAAATGAACACGTTACAATCTCAACAGCTTTCAGTTTAGCACCTGTAAACTTCACTCAGAGTATGTGGGTATCACCAAATGGACCAGAACATCCCCAATTGCCCCTGGAGAAGGTGGTGAGCTGCTGCTTTCTTGAACTACAGCAGTCCATGTGCACTGTTGATGCAACGTCTCTACTGCCTCAGGAGGCTAAGGAAATTCAACATGTCCACAATGAGTCTTACCAATTTTTATAAATGTACCACAGAAAGCATCCTATCCAGGTGCAACACAGCGTGGTTTGGCAGCTGCTATTTCCACGACTGCAAGAAACCATAGAGAGTTGTGAACACAGCACAGTGCATTCATGCAAACCAGCCTTCCTTCCATTGACTCCATGTACACTTCCCGTTGCCTCCGGAAAGCAACCAACATAGTCAAAGACCCCTCCCAACCCGGTTATACTGTCACCCTCTTCCACTGGGCAGACGATATAAAAGTCTGTATACATGTACAAACAGATTCAAGGACGGCTTCTTCCCCACTCATATCAGACTTTTCATCAGACCTCTTTAAGTATTAATGTTAATCTCTCTCTGCACTTTCTTGGCAACTGTAACACTGTATCCTGCGCTCTGTTCTGTTATCCTGATGCACTTGTACAGTATGATCTGCCTGTAAAGTGCATAAAACACTTTTCATTGTACCTCGGTACATATGACAGTAATAAATAATAATAATCAAATGATAATCAAATGTTGCATTGATTCCATAGTGAGAGTGTTAAGCTGAAGTTTCTCAAAGCTCCTGAATAAAATCCCCGGCTGAGTATGTCCCAATAAAACCCTAACCCTCCACTTAGTGCCTTGGAGCCATGCCCTGGTAGGGACTATCTACCAGCCCCCTGCAGTTACACTATTCAGTAACACTCTGAAGTACATGTTTGTTCAGAGGAGACATTTCACTGGTTTGCAGGTAGATACAGAGTATCATCAGATGCAAAGATTTAAATAGGACAACCGTGCAAAATTTAAATGTTTGGAATCAGAAAGAAATAGAATCATACAAAACTGGAGATCAGTCATCCCATCGTATTAATGCTGAGTCTTTGGTCAATCAAATTAATCACACTCCCTCTGTCCATTCTTCGTAGTCTTGAATAATTCTCCAGTGGAAGTGTTTAAATGATTTCCTTTTGAATATTCCTACTGAATTCACTTCCAGTGTAAATTCAGACAGCACATTCCAAACCACAACTCACTACAGGAAGAAATCCCAGCCCTCTCTTTGGTGTCTTTGTTACTGATGGAAATTTTGTATCCTTGTGTTACTAAAGCCTCCTCCTAAATATTATCTCAGTGAATATTTCTTCGTGGCATTAGTTATATCACAAGTTGAAGGAAACTAAATTCCTACTTTAGTTTAAGTGGACTCTGACTGACCCATTATTGAGAGGTATTTTGTAAACTGATCACTGCATCTGAACCCTGAATTCACAATCCTCCAACCACAGGAAGATCAGAGACCTTCCTCCCTCGCTGTGTTTCACCATCGTCTGTTCTTCATCGTTCAATACCTGGCTCAGTCTGCAACCAGCCCAGCAGTTCCTCCCTGGTATAGGATCTGCTTCTGCCCCTGCTCTTCCCTGTTCCACAGTGAACAGGAAGATGATTCAGTTAATCCCCCATTCTGCTTGGAATCAGCCATTCAATGTGCATTACAGCCCTGAGATCCCCCTCGAGTCTCTGCCCATTACCTCACACTGTGGCACTTCCCAGTCAACAGGACCTTCACCCCTCCCTCCCTGGTCAGAGGGCAGATTCCAACCAGCATCGTTACCCACTCCCAGGGTATCCCACTGGCATTGCCAAAATTCCCACTCTTCCTGATTCCATCTTCGGGATCTCACTGAAATGTAACTTTCTGTCCTGAACATTCAATAGTAGTCAATCAATCCCTTTGACCAAAAAGCTGACATACTCCTGACCTCATCCCTGGTTCCAGAAACAAACTGACCTCTGCCCTTTGCCCAGTTGTGTATTTAGCATCCATTTCACCCCACACAGTTCATTTCCTACTTACTTTTCAGATAGCATTTACTCCAAAATCTTCCATAATTCCTGATGCTCATTTTAGCCAACAACAAACTTGGTGCCGACTTACCTTTGCAATGCTACAGGGTCCCTTGGTGGCTCTGACACAAGCTGCTTGCTGCTGGCTAATCCAGTTCACTACAATGCTCCTGGCCTGCTGCTGTTTTATGACCGACTTCTCCCTCCCACGGGAATGAGTGGAGTTCTGCTAGAGGGCGGGGGCGGTTTAAATGAGAACAAGCAAACTGGTATCACCAGGGAGCCACTCCCTCAGCAATCTACACAAGTGGGCAGAACTGAAAGGTTGCAACACTCGTTCTCTGTTTAAGAAATAACACGCAGCAAGCATCTGCCATTAGTAACACATCCGTTTTCAAAACTAAACCTTGATCATGTGATTTCAGATTAACATCAACATATTTCACTGTGTCAAAGATTGCTGTTATTGGGTTAAAACATGAAGAGAACTGGCTTTGAGGGTATGATTTTCCTGGGAGTGTGATGGGAGCTTAGAAAACTAAAAGTGTAGAGAGAGCTTTTCTCAGTTTAAAAAAGAAATGGGAGCTTTACGTTCAGTTTAAAAAAGTAGAGAGAGAGAACTTTCAGTTTATAAAAGTAGAGGGAGATTGATTCTGTATCTAAACCCTGTGCTGTCTCGGTCCTGGGAGTATTTGACGGGGATGGTGTTGATGGAGTTTTGTTTTTTGATTTACAAGAGCAAAGGGAGCTTTCCTCTGTATCTAAAGCCTGTGCCGTACCTGTGCTGGGAGTATTTGATGGTAACGGTGTAGAGGCAAATTTACTTTATGTTAAAAAGAGTACAGAGAGTTTTACTTTCAGTTTAAAGGTGTAGAGGGAGCTTTATTCTGTATCTAACCTCATGCTGTACCTGCCTCAAGTAGAAACACCTGGAATGTACAAGGAATGTAAACAGAAGATTTCTAGAAGGACCTTTTTGAACATTTGCCCTGAGCTGGGAATAGTAATTTCCTCAACTCTGTCTAACCTCCAGTCAACTGCACAGCCAGAGGTGAAGTATAACATGTAACTTTCAGCTTTCACAGTTCCCAACATTAGCTTTGTCTCATTCTACCTTACAAATGGTATCACTTTGAAAACAACTAGTCTTTGAAATTGTTCTTGCTTCAGTCACCCTTATAGTACAAATCTGTACAGACTGTGAATGGGCAAGACTCCATTTGTTGGTCAGCAAGTGAGCACGTGGTCATTACTAGAATACTGGTGTGCATAGGTACCAACAAGGGCAGGGCTGTAGAATGCCCATCAACTGTGGACTAACCTGCCCCCCTTTACAGTCATGCTGAAGGCATCACCCAACTTCACCCCCTGGTTCTCAAGTTTGTTGATGTTGTAAATGGTTCACTATCCCTCCTTCCGTCTGCTGCTTTCACTCCTCACCTTAAAACAACAATACTTGACCCCGTTGTCCTTAAAATTACAGCCTCAACTCTAACCTCTCTTCCTCTTCAAAGTAATCCCAAAACATGCCTGACCCTCCATCTCCTTCTCTCTCTATCATTGTGTATTTGTACTTGATTTGTATCATCGATAGTCATAGGTGAAGTGCCAGAAGACTGGGGGGTTGGCTAATGTGCCACTATTTCAGAAAGGTGGTAAGGAAAAGTCATTGAAGTTTACACCGGTGAGCCTGACATCGGTGGTAAGAAAGTTGTTGGAGGGTATCCTGAGGGACAGGATTTACATGTATTTGGAAAGGCAGGGACTGATTAGGAATAGTCAATGTGGCTTCCTGTGAGGGAAATTGTAATTCATTAACGTGATTGGGTTTTTTGAAGAGGTAAATACAGAGTGGTTGATGTTGTCTATGTGGACTTCAGCAAGGTGTTTGACAATGTTCCGCATGGTAGACTGGTTAGCAAGGTTGGATCAAATGGAATCCAGGGAGTGGTAGCCAATTGGGTACAAAATTGGCTTGAAGGCAGGTGACAGAGGGTGGTGGTAAAGGTTTGATTTTCAGACTGGAGGCCTGTGACCAGTGGTGTGCCACAAGGATTGGTGCAGGGTTCCATTGCATTTATATAAATGATTTGGATGTGAATATAGGAGGTATGGTTAGTAAGTTTGCAGATGACACCAAAATTGGCAGTGTAGCAGACAGTGAAGAAGATTAATATCAGAGTACACCAGGACCTTGATCAAATGCACCGACGGGCTGAAGAGTGGCAGATGGAGTTTAATCTAGATAAATGTGAGCTGTTGCATTTTAGTAAAGCAAATCAGGGCAGGACTTATACAGTTAATGGTACGGTCTTGGGGAGTGTTGCCATACAAAGAGACCTTGGTGTGCAGGTTCATAATTCTTTGAAATTGGAGACACAGGTAGACATGTTAGTGACAAAGGCATATGGTATGCTTATCTTTATTAGACAGTGCATTGAGTATAGGCATTGGAAGGTCATGTTGCGGCTGTACAGGACATTGGTTAGACCACATTTGGAATACTGCATGCAATACTGGTCTCCCTGATGTAGGAAAGATATTGTTAAACTTGAAAGAGTACAGAAAAGATTTATAAGGATGTTGCCAAAGTGGTGGGTTTGAGCTTTAGGGAGAGGCTGAATAGGCTGGGACTATTTTTCCTAGAGCATCGGAGGCTGATGTATGACCTTATAGAGTTCATAAAATCATGAGGGGCATGGATAGGGTAACTAGACAAGGTCTTTTTCCCCAGGGTGAGGGAGTCCAAAATTAGAGGGCATAGATTTAAGTTGAGAGGAGAAAGTTTAAAAGGGACCTAAGGGACAACTTTTTCACACAGAGGGTGGTGCGTGTATGGAATGAGCTGCCAGAGGAAGCGGTGGAGGCTGGTACAATTACAACATTTAAAAGGCATCTGGATGGGTGCATGAATAGGAAGGGTTTAGAAGGTTATAGGCCATATGCTGGTAAATGGGACTAGATTAATTTAGGATATCTGGTTGGCATGGACGATTTGGGCGAATAGGTCTGTTTCCGTGCTGTACATCTCTATGACTCTATGACGCTTCTCCTTTCAGACTATTTTTAGAGACTGCCTCAAATTGTTCATCATCTGCACAATTATATCTTTATGGGGCTCGTGGCCAAGTTTGATTTTATAATCTCTCTGAGCCAACTTGACACGGTTTGCTATTTAATAAATACCAAATGCTTTTGATGAGGGTGCAGAGAGACCGTGGATGGCAGAGAATGCAGTGGGATTTGATAACAAGGATGAGAAGTTTAGAAATGGGTACATTCAGATCCCATGTAGGTAAGTGAGTGAGTGAGTGTGAATTAGAACACATGGAACTGTGCATTGGGTGAACAGAGGAATTGAAAGAATTGTGCATATCTGGCAGAAGTCTGTGGTTCATTTACCCATTCATATTTTTTCATTATTCAAACCAGTGCTGCATTATTTGAAATTACAGTCACATGGTCAGTTTGTGATACAGAAAAATGGCATAGACTTTCTGACTCCTGAAACTGTGATGTATGAAAAACCTCCAGAATAATGATTATTTGGTTTATGTGCAATTTGACTCATCTGCTGAGGATGTTGCTGCAGACCTGACTCTCATCACAGACAGAATCTGTCAATTAATCTGTGGTACAATTAATCATTCTTCAAGCAGCATTTACAGGCAAAAAAAAACCCACTTCAGACCCTGAGCATCAAAGTCTGATGAGGGAACACTAGGGTTGAATGTCTCAGCGAGTCAAGCAGTGAAAAGAGAGGTGATTGACTGTTTTTTACCAAAACAAGGCAACTGATTGGTGGGTAGGGTTGGTGAGTATTTCTAGCCTTGAAAGTAAAAGTACAGTCTTTGTATCGTGTTTAGGCCTTTAGACTTGTTTTTCTGTCATTTTTGTAAAATTAGGTTGTTAGGTATAAGATTGGTGCTGATACTTTTAAAAATTACAATAAGTGTAAGGAATAGGTAGTTAATTAATAAATTAAATAACGTATGATAGTGATGACAGAACAGGTGATGTGTTGCTGCTGCAGTATGTCAATAGCTGCTGGACACTTAAATGATCCAGAGTGAAAACATCTGTAGTAATTGATTGCAACTTAAAGCACTTTAAGTGTGAGTTGAGGAGTTGGAGTCTGAGCTACAGATATTGCACTATATCAGGGGAAGGGGAAAATTACCTGGACACTGCATCAGAAGGCAATCACACTGCTCAGATTACATAATTGAAAATTGATCTATGATCAGGGACAGGAGGCTATATCTGCAAGTGAGAGGCATGTGTGCCCAAGAGGTAGTCAAGGAGCCTTGGTGACTGTGATTGTCCAACTATTGCAAGATTCTTACAAGCTGTGTGGACAAGAATGGGGACTGCAAGAGGATGAGCAAACTTACCACAGCACCTTGGTACAGGGACCTATTGATCCGAGTCCAGGACCGGCACGTTCCAATAAGGAGGAAGGACAAGGATGGCAAGGTAAGGAACCCTTGGACAATGAGGGAGGCTATGAATTTAGTCCAAAGGAAAAAAGACGCATATGTAAGGTTTAAGAAACTAATATCGAACAGGGCCTGTGAGGAATATAAAGAAATCAGGAAAGAACTCAAGCAGGGAATTAGAGAGCAAGAAGGGGCCATGAAATGACCTTGGCAAGTAGGGTAAAAGAGAATCCCAAGGTATTCTATACATACATTAAAAACAAGAGGATAGTTAGGGAGAAGTTAAGACCACTCAAGGATAAAGACAGGAACTTGTGCTTAGAGGCAGAGGATGTGGGCAAGATCCTAAATGAGTACTTTGCATCAGTATTCGCCCAGGAGAAGGATATGGAGGACAGTGAGATTTGTGTGGAGCATGCTAATATGCTTGGGCATTTTGTGATCAATAAAGAAGTAGTGTGGGTCTCCTCTGAAGAGTATTAATGTGGATACGTCCCCAGGGCCAGATTGTATCTATTCCAGGTTTTTGAGGGCAGCAAGAGAGGAGATTGCTGGGGTCTTGACCAAGATCTTTGTATCCTCACTCGCCACTGGAGAGGTCCCAGAGGGCTGGCGAGTAGGTGATGTTGTTCCTCTATTCAAGAAGGGAGAAATAGGCATTATCTAGGAAACTACAGACTGGTGAGTCTCACATTGGTGGTTGGAAAGCTGTTGGAGAGAATTCTTAGGGATAGGATGTAAACACATTTAGAAAAGCATGGCTTTGTGCAGGGCAGGTCATGTCTTACTAACTTGTTTGCAATTTTCAAGGAGAT